AGAACAGATAAGACGTTTAGAGCCTTGTCGGTGACATGTACGCCGCTGTTGGCTTGGAACAGCTATTTGCTGTGCATAGGGACGTGCCCGCGTTAGCCGTGTTGCAACAGCTCAGGATGGATTTCAGCCAGCAACAGCCTCAAGAGCTGCTGCACAACCACCGGGAATGTCTTCAGTTGGGCACGTGTAGTTTTGGTCGGCGGGGTCGAGCAACGTACGCAATGCGCACAGAAACCAAGGTGCAGCGTTCTGTAACATCGCCAACATATCCGGTACGCGGTGGCAGGCTTGCCGAGCACGAAATGAAGGGGGGGTCGCATCTCACCATTCAACTAAGCATGCATGTGCTCGGTTGAATGCTCGGTAGCGTGCGAGTTTACCCCTATCAGGATGTTTGTTTGCATATCCCTCCAAGCGAATGGACCTATGCTGATGTTCGTTCCAAGAAGTGAACTGAGGACTGATGCTACGGTGAAAGATTTGCACGTAAATTCGCCCGTGCAATAAAACGCCCTGTAACTCGCTTACGCTAATCTCACATTCCAATATGCCACTGCACTTTCCTCTCCAGCCTGGCCACATTCTCTTCCTCGCAAACGTACTTGGGCACCTTACAATCCAACACCATACGGGCTTTGGAAACGCAGGCAGCTGCTTCACAAGGACCCCCCTATTTGCTCCAACAAGCAATCATGCTACCGTACGCGCCTTCCTCTCCAAAGCTGCAGCCAAAGGATTTGAGGTCCACCATCTCGACGTCCGCACAGCATTTTTGCATGGCGATTTGGATGAGGTGGTTTACGTTGATCAGCCTGAAGGTTTTCTGACTGGTGAGCGTGGTCTAAAGTGTCGGTTCTTGAAGGCGTTGTACGGCTTGCGGCAAGCCAGCCGGGCCTGGTATGTTAAATTAGTAAATAAGCTACGGGAAATGGGCTACACGGTCTCCAACACGGACCCCAGCTTGTTTATCAAGTACCAAGGCACTGACGTTGTTGAGCTGCTTATCCATGTTGACGATCTGTTGATTGGGAGTGACTCTAAGGATCTAATAGCCCAGTCAAAGAAAGAACTGGCGAAGGATTTCGATTTGCGTGATTTA